GTCTCTACAGATTGTGGATTACGTTATATCGGCGCTGTTCAATCGCAGCGGATTTTCGTATCAGAAACCGAAACACATCTTAGCCCATGGGTTTCAACGTGCGAACGGGCTGCAAGCTACAACGCGGACTCTTGCCTGCAGTCTTCGTGGCATAGTGGCACGATTCCCGAACAAGAATGTCCAGTCCCTTAAGCGCGCTCCTTGGACCCACGTCCTTGGACTTTTGGGGAGCAACGGGGAGGACATCATGACAAGTCTCTTATTTGATTGTGGGATATTTACTGCCATAGATAGTCGGAAAGGCATCTACTACCAATTAAGCGGTAAGCCATGCCATCCACGGCCTAGCGGATGACTACTTATGCGCAAATACAGGCATTCCGCTATCAGACCTTGAACCAATGAATAATCCAGTTGGAACACAAACCCTGAATGCTAAGGTTGCACATCCTACTAAGAGCAGTTCTTCACGGCCAGTGGAAGTCGATGGAAATCCTAACCCCCAAAGCAGAACAGAGGGCAGTACGAATGATATCTCCAAGCCAAATAGCGTAGTGCTCTTCCGCCGACGTATGCTTTATGCGCGCCCTGCATTCGACGCGAAGGGGCAAGTTCAGTCTGGGTTGTCAAACCGGCGTAAGTGTTTTGGAAGCCATAATGTGGATAAGCCTCCTACTGACGGTTGGAGCAGACGTTCTGAATCGCTTTCCCTCTTCGGGTTCATTGTCGCAGACCGTGCATGTTATGAAATACATATTCCCCAGGCAATTCGGTCTGCACAATGTATTCACCTGTCTGCCTGACAGCCGCATGTCTACTCTTCCTGTCAATGATTACTCCTCTCGCGAGGAAGAGATCTCCCAGTCTGAAAAGCAGAGGTATCAAGACCCAGTGATCCTGAAACAAGCTAGCCATGGCTGATGATGGATGCAGCGGATCAATGAAAGTACCCAAAAGGCTGCGAGGAAGGACTTTAGAACTGGTTCAACAGTTGCAAAATCGCCATGAAAGATGCTCATATAGAGAATTGTTACGCCATTATTGTCCACCACAGGTGTGTCGCACTACCCTTCTTCGTATAATTGGCACTAAGGTATTAGCGCACTGGTCCCTGGAAATTTGGTCCTATCGATCCCCAGACTGAGACACCCAGTGAAGAACTGGGATCATCAGCATCAGAACCATTGATAACACAATTGCGAGGTCACCATCAGCTCGTAGCAGTTCATCATATAGCTGAACCAACGCCAACGTCTCCACTTCGACCGAAAGCCAAAGGTCATGCCATCAAAGCAAATGTTACGAAACCGAAACTCAGTTTGACAGATTATGCAACGCCAGCCTCTTCAGTATCTGCTTTCTGTCGAGCAGTACTACGAACCCTAATACCGCCCCACTTCTATGGCATAGGTCAACATAAATTCAGCAACCAGACTGTTATCTTCAAGCACGTCGATCGGTTCGTGCGCATGCGACGATTTGAAAGCTTAAGCATACATGAAATCTGCAAGGGAATCAAGGTACGGCGCTGTTGTATACACCCTACCAAAGATAATTGCTAAAGCGAGTACCTTATAGATAACATGCATATCCTGGCTCGAACCCCCGACGGTCCGTGGCCAAAATTCGAATAAAGTTTCGTTATCTGATTTACAGAAACGGACAGAAATATTACACGAAATTATCTACTACATCTTCGATTCGATTTTGATACCACTTGTACGGGCCAACTTTTATGTCACTGAGTCTCAGACCCACCGTAATCGCTTATTCTACTTCCGGCACGATGTCTGGCGTCACTTGACTGAACAGCCCTTGGCTGACCTCAAGCTTTCTACATTCGAGGAATTGAAGTCAGACAAAGCAGAGCGCATGCTCGGTCGTAGGTCCCTACCGTACGGTACCTTGCGGCTCCTTCCAAAGACAACTGGTATTCGCCCAATTCTGAATCTGCGACGAAGAACGTTGGGGAACAACAAATGGGCGGGAAGCAAAGGCCGCTTCTTGGGGCAAAGTATCAACTCAGCCATCACCCCTATCTATGGCATCTTAAACTACGAGAAGATGCGGAAACAAGATGACCTAGGCTCGTGTTTATTTTCTGTAGGAGACATGCATTTGCGGCTCAAGGCATTCAAAGAACGCTTGTTGCTACATTACCACGAAGTCGGTTCGCTGCCGGCCTTCTATTTTGTTAAACTAGACATCCAATCTTGTTTCGATACAATCCCTCAGGATAGGCTGGTCCGTCTTGTTGAGGCGCTGGTATCTGAAGAAGCGTATCACTTTACCAGGCATGTCGAAATGCGCCCGCCAGATGAATTTGGTTGCATGTGGCCAATGCGCGAAACAAAACAGAGTAAAGCTTTCCGCAAGTTCGTGGCCAGGGCAGCACCCGCTGCGAGACCACAGCATCTGACGGAAACGATTAATAATGGCGGAACTAGCCACAGAAGGAATACGGTTTTTGTTGATACGTCGGGACAGAGAGAATGCAATACTGAGGATCTGTTGGATTTACTCCACGAGCACGTCCGCAATAATCTGGTGAAATTTGGCCGGAAATACTTCCGACAGCGCAATGGTATTCCCCAGGGCTCGGTACTATCTAGCATTCTCTGCAACTTATTCTATGCAGAAATGGAGCGGGAAGTTTTAGCGTTTTTACAGTCGGACGAAACGCTACTTCTGCGTCTTGTTGACGACTTTTTACTAATTACCTCGAATCCCGACCTTGCCAAACGTTTCTTGAAGGTGATGATCAAAGGACAGCCTACATACGGTGTCTCTGTCAATCCAGCCAAGAGTCTCGTCAATTTCACCGCTGCTGTAGAAGGGACTCATATCCCTCGGCTGGTTGACACTCCACTCTTCCCCTACTGTGGGAGCTTGATTGATACTCGCACTTTAGAGATTCACAAAGATCATGATCGCATACTCGAAGGAGGTGACTCCGCTGCCGAGACCCTCTCTAACTCCCTGACCGTCGAATCCGCACGAGTCCCGGGTCGTACGCTGCACCGGAAATTGCTCGCATCCTTCAAGCTACTCATGCATCCCATGTACCTTGACACAAATCACAATTCACTTACGGTGGTCCTTTCAACCCTATATGCGAACTACCTTACCACCGCTATGAAGATGTATCAGTATATGAGATCGCTCCGGGGTCGAGCGCACCCTTCGTCTGAGGTGATCATTCGGATCGTCCGGGATACAACGCAGCTCGCACATCGACTCGTTCAGGGCAAGAGGTGCTGGGGTCAGCGAGACACAGCCGTGGTATCTTTCTCGCCCTCTGTATGCACTGTGCAGCATTCACAAGTTCAGTACCTCGCAGCAGCGGCGTTCCAATTTGTGTTGCGCCGCAAACAAACACGATACGCTCTTGTGTTGCGCTGGTTGGAACTGGTGTTGAAGGGCAGCCGGCCAAGATCCGATGCGAAGGCTATGCGCCTAGCACAAGTAGTACAGAAGGGAAACCTGATGTATGGTAACTGGAGATTCTGACTGGGATGTACAGCCTTACCCTTGAGCGTTGAGCCGAAATTGCAAAAAATTTTGTCTCGATCTCCACTGTCTCAGCTAGTGCGCAACGGCTACCAGTGTTGTTGACTGATGCGTGGATTTTAGCCTAACGGTGTGACCAATAAATCATTGTTCTAGATAACATGGTTACCCGTTCAGTAACATATGTAGGGACCATACTCCGTACGGAGTAATGTCTTCCATAACTTGGTATTGTTATTATTTATTTATATTATTCTTTCTAGCGAATCTCAGTCATGTGTGGTGGGAACTAATATATACGTCGGAGAAACCAGAGGAGAGAGAATAAGAAAGCTTCAGCTCAAGAGTGGAGCGAGTGTGGCAAATACTTTGTCTCAGATCTCCGATCGTGTCTGCGGGAACCACTGAGATCAGAACGAATTATGTAGCAGCCTATTGATACTACGAACAATGTTGTTTCCGAGTTAAAACAACGCGAACTGCGTGCCCGGGCGTCGGAAGAATTCCACTATAAAGGCCAATTTGTGTTGGAAGAAGCTGTGGATTAGGGTCCGTGGAACGAACCTCACATACCACGGAACCTTTCGGCGTGGACACAAATGTGACTGGACCAACAGGCATAAAAGGGGGGTTGGAAAGGGGGAGGCAACATATTTTGTTGATTTCAAGGCCCGACAAGGCAATTGTCAACAAGTGCGATGATGTACATCAACAACAGCGATTTGATTCCAACCGCACGCGACGACCCTGTTTTTCTAATGACTTTTTCGACAAAAGCGATGCAGCATGACGCTTCTGTGACGATACTGTGGCTGTGGCGTTTTGTTTCGAGCCGGTAAGATTACGACAGCCACTAGTATCCTCCCGGCCTCTTAGCCTGTGAGCACGGAATCCTTTGGTCGGAGATCGGCATCTGGAATGGTATTTTTCTGGTATAGTTTCACTGCACCAGCCGCAGTCGTGGGATTGGCCAGACCACGTCCAAAGACGGTGACCTCGCAGCCTCAGGCCCATCGGCCACGCCGGTTGCAGCTTCAAGTCTCCATCATCTCATTTCATCCCCCCTTCTCTTTCTTCCCCATCTATTTCCTTCTCCCCACCTCGTCCATTTCCTTTTTCCTTTTCCTTTCTTCCATCGTTTCTCGTCCTTCGCTTGATCAAAATCCCTTCCTCCTTCGTTTACCCTTTCTTTGAACTTTCTCTCGTTAAGTGACTCCTATTCGGCGTTCGCCGAACATCTATGTCCTAGTCTCCTGATCTCACTTTGCGATATCACCGAAACAGCGACATCGTCGCCCACCCTTGTCCACGGGTGCCTGGTCTGGATATTTACCGGGTTCTGGATGACCCTTGGTGTCACGTTTAAATAGTCGATTATCTTAATACAAGTCCGGTGTTGGATTCGAAAAAAGTCCTGCCCTACCGTCTTTCGTTTCTTACATCTCGATTTCCTTACCACCAAGTTTTGACTCGGCATTCGCTGCGCGACCCACCCAGTCAGAACCTGGTATTCGATTCCCTATATCGGTAACAGTGGAACATTTTGCTGCTTCTTGTTCATCCCAATAAATCATTCAAGACAACTTTCTCGGTACGATATGACAACCGTTTGCACAACGCCCAATTCCCCGCCCGAACTTTCCGGTTCCAAGTCTTCCAAGTCGTCCTCCTTCCGCTCCTCCTCTCAACTCGATGGCCCCGATGGCGTCTTTACGGATATCTCCAACTTCGAAGATATTGGCCTTGAAGACGATGCGGACCTAGCATATAACAATGCTGTCGCCTCGCCCTATGGCCGACCCGGCCTTTCACGGTCATCGACGGCACGAATGCAGTCCAAGGCCTCGGTGATCACAACGCGCGAATTGACCACTACATCGCAACAAACGAAGGGTTTACACAAACCCCCCGCGCAAATTAACGGAATGCTCAGTCTGCAGACACGCAGTATCTCCAGATCAAAGTCAGGGAATAAACGTGACCCTGGTAGTGCTAAGTCGCCATTACAAACACCCAACTCTCAGCGTGCTCGATCCACATCGCCCCTCCGACCGACATCTCGTCTGGGCTCCTCGCCATCTACTCATAGTCTGTCCTTGTCGCCAGCCAATGCTCGGCCTCCTTTGAACCGAAAACACTCATGGCAGCCAAACCGCAAGACCTTGAAGGAATTGGAGGAAGAATATCATGATTCAGATGAGGAGCTACCGGAAGATGCAAGTCTGTGGAATGTGCCGATATCCCCTCGACCTCTTGAAGATCGCCCAGCTTCTCGAAGCACGAGTCCAAACGGTCGTAGTCCGGGACCTCGGCCCCTCCCCTTGTCGCACTCCGTCAAGGATGCTTCACTGCCGGGTGCAAGATCGCCAAGTGGATCTCGACCACGTCGACCTGCTGTGCGATCCAGTTCTGCAGGTCCCGAACGTGGCCAGATTTCCCCGCGTAATCCACGTGTTTATTCGTACAATAGCATGATGTCTGATTTGTCGGAAGAAGCAAAGATCATCACCGAGGCTCTAGAACACCATGCCGACGAGCGCGAACAGAAGCGCGGAGAGAATCTACAAAGCGGCTTGTCGTCTCTGAGGTCAAGTGAGGAGTCTAAGCGGGGGTCTCGAGGCGCCATTGAGCTACCCCCGTTGCAAAAGTCCAACATTATGATCGATCCCTTACCTATCAGCAAAGAGAAAGAGAAGGTTCTCACAAGAACACGGCCCAGCTGGCTCCCTCCTAAAGATCAGAAGGAAGAAAAGAAGCATCTGAAAGAGTACAAGAGGATGATGGCACAATCACGGGAAGCAGGTAAAATTACTCTTGTTTGCTGACGGTTTGTCTTATGCAGAACTTACTAACTCTAATTCACCAGATAAGCGTCGTGCAGCGAAGGCTGCCTCGGCCAAGTGCGAGAAGGACAACACCCGAGAAACACTCCAGCGTATCTGGGATGATTATGTTTATCCCAATTGGGAGAATGCCATAGGTGAAACCAGAACACGTGAGCTCTGGTGGCGTGGAGTGCCTGCTCGAAGCAGAGGAACAGCCTGGCAGCGCGCCATCGGCAATGAGCTGTCTTTGTCCGAGGAAACGTTCAAGAAGGCGTTGCAGCGCGCCAAAGACGTACGGTCAAAGGTCGATGGCGATACTGGAGAGAGTAACAAACGAATGCGAGAGTGGTTTGAGGCAATTGAAGGCGACGTATCCACAGCATTCCCAGATTTGAAGCTCTTCCAGGAAGGTGGTCCTTTACGGGACACTTTGATTGACGTGTTGGAGGCATACTCTATGTATCGCAGTGACGTGGGCTATGTCACTGGTCTCCATGTAAGTGGCAGCTATATATACCGATGCATCGTTAAAGCTAATCAGTGACAGACAATTGCCGCTCTCCTCGTCCTTCAATTCCCAACCCCTTCATCTGCATTTCTCGCAATGGCTAATGCACTTAATCGATCTTTGCCTGTTGCTTTCCTCACCCTTGACCGCGGGGCGATCAGCCGTACATACACACTAACGACTGCGACACTTCGTTATAAATTCCCTCGTCTAGCCTCTCACCTTACTGAGACGCTTCAGCTCTCGGATGAAGAGATCTGGGAGCCGATGTTCCGCTCCCTCCTCACAAATGGTCTTGACCTTGAGCGTATCAGCCGCGTCTGGGACTGCTGGGTATTCGAGGGAGACCGCATCATGATTCGAGCTGCAGTGGCAGTCCTTGGTTGCTTGCAGGCGCAACTGTTTGGATTTACCAAACCGGATGACGAGAGTCGTGCTACGGTTAGACAGATCCTCGGATGGGGGCCCCGTAGTGCCGGAGCCAAGCCTAAGGAGCGGCATAGTGCTCCGGTAACATCTGCAGCGGGCTTCGGTGGCGGTCAATTCTCCAATGCCGGCGTTGGTGACTATTGGATACTCACAGCCGCGGGCGATGAAGATGGATTTATGAGTGAGGTTAGGGAAGCTGGCAAGGTGCGGGACTAAAAGTTTGCCCTGTTAGATTTATTTTTTAATGCATCAAGCCACACTCCCCCTTGCGAGGTTATTTTACTTTTACACATGTATACCTACCATTCGTTTGACTATGCTTTGTTCCCTTCGCTTCTTACCGCTGGACATATTTTTCTATAGGTGGTTAAGGCATTTCATGCTAACCGAGCTAATTATCACTTACACTTGATATCCTACACATCATTTCACATCATTTCATAGATCGTAGTTGAGATTATGTGTATCTGAAAGCAATTGTACAGCTCCGGATGCCGACAGCGTGCAACATAAGCCGCATCTATTACCTTAGGAAGTACATCCCTACCTTGAACCTGTCTACATGCCTAGCTGCAAATTACAGTCCACTCTGTCTCCAGTCTCCTACGTCAATTCTGCAACTCACTACCGATCTAGGTAATATTTCTCAAAGCTTGGCCCTTGCTAAGCTTTAGGGGTAGTCTTGGCTATGCAAGCATGATCCATAGGTTATTTGGGAATCTGCCCAGTTGACACTTGTATTAGTGGCTTCTATCATGGAACTTGTATATGTTGAACAATACAGAGAGATACAGTGGATATGGAGGATGTCTCTAGCATCTAGTATTAAATGGTAGTATATTACTTTCAGAATCTAGTATCTTCGCAGGTTTACACCCGATTTGTGACATGTCAATCATCGCACTATATGTATAATTGCAAGCATGTACATGAACTTAGAAACAATATTGCCACCATCTACTTTTCCATAACCCTTTTCATACATCATCAACTTTGAATCAAAAATACCCGATTCATCTAGAAATACCAGAATATAGTACTCGTGTTGTCTTCCCTGGATGAAACTCAATCACCAAGCGATCTTCGCGATTATACTCTTCGGGAACTGTCGCACCAGCAGCTTCCGAAGCTCATCCATAAGCAAGATCCCCAGCGCCAGCGCTAGAGGAATAAACCAGAACTCGATGGGGACTGGTGCAGTGTTGAATAATTTATGGAAGCCCGGCACCTCGGTGACGAAAATTGCGATGACGAGGGATATAGCCATCGACAAGGGGAGCCAGGGGTTCCGGCGCTGTTTGCGGACGGGGTCTGCTTGGAGGATGGACATGCGTTTGTTGCGGACAGAGAGGATGTTGCCCCACTGGAGCATGACTAGACTGACAAAGTAGACGCCCTGGCCGACGTTGTTGAAGTTGGTTAGCTCGTCCTGTGTGTAGCCGTAGAAGCCGTCAGAGTATTTCTCGAACGCGAAGATGAGGGCGTGGAAGGGGATTCCGGCTTTCTTGTACATGTACAGGAAGAACATTGAGTGGGCGCAGAAGGCCTCCATGACGCCGACGAAGAGGTATGATTGGCCGTATATCTTGAGGTTGATTAGGTGGTCCTTCTTATGGTTTCGAGGGGGAACGCTGAGGAGGTCGTATTCTTCCTTCTCCATGATGAGAGAAAGGGAGCAGAAGAGATCGGTGAATACGCAGATGATGATCATGAGGAAGGAGCTCAAAGGTAATGGCACGCCGAAGAATACGTTCATCAGGACTGGCCAGATTTCCGACCAACTACCGGCGGGTAGCAGGTATGCGATCACCTTTTGGAGGTTTTGGAACACTAGACGGCCTAGCCGGATGGCTTGGGCTATTGAATCGAATCGGTCGAGGAGAACCAGGTCCGCAGCTTCAATTGCGACATCGCTGCCGGAGACCACTGCAATTCCAACGTCGGCTGCTCGTAGTGCTGGAGCATCATTGACTCCGTCTCCTGTTACTGCAACAACATTGTCCCGGCTCTTGAGCTCTTGTACAATGCGGTATTTGTGCTCGGGAGTTGTTCGAGCGAACACGATTTCCTCGTACTTGCATATGGCATCCCATTGCCAATCGTTTAGGGCTGATATATGCTTGCCATCCACGAGGAGACTGTGGCGAGAGTGTAGCGATTGCTTCTCGTCAATTTCGCTGCCCGTGAAGGGCTTCAGGTCATCTACGGTATCTGGCTCAGCAGTGCCACTGAAGATACCTATGTCTCTTGCGATCGCAGCCGCAGTCAGACCGAAATCACCCGTAACCATGAAAAAGCGAATTCCTGCCCCTCGACACGCCGCCACCGTCTCTGCAGTCTCTAGTCGTGGTGGATCCATTATTCCGAAGATTCCAGTAACTGTTAAACTTTGGACACATTCAGCCAATACCTCGTCGTTGAAGTCGTTAGACCCAACAGCGGCACGGGGAGTGAAGCGTCGCTGACAGATAACAATTACACGCTCCGCTCGTCTCGATAATTCGGCTTGAAAATTCGAGAACAGCCCCTTTGCTTTCTCATCCAGTACTTTGATTGTGTTATCGATGCCTGATCGATATGAAGTGCATCTCGGAAGTAACACGTCCGGTGCACCTTTGACGAAGACAAGATACCCATCTGTATCAGTGGGATCCCGATGAATCGTTAACATCCATTTGTTCTTTGAGTTGAAGGGAACTTGATGGATTCTTTCGAACATAGATAGCTGATTACGACCGTCAGGCATGATAGATTCAGCGAAGCGTAGGACAGCGGCATCGGTAGCATTTCCCGTGACACCTCGCTCATTGACTGGCAGAGCAATTGTCGCGGGGTCAAAAAAAGCGTCATTGCACAACAGAGATCCGCGCAGTAAGTTCTTCAGGGACTCTGACATCTCATTGCGTTGAGTATTAGGAAGTTGTTCAACATCGAGTGTCGTATCGAGCAGCCCTAGTGACCTGACTGACATCTTATTCTGGGTTAGAGTGCCGGTCTTGTCCGAACAGATGACGTTCACGCAACCCAATGTCTCGACTGTGGCAAGACCTTTGGGTAGGATATTGGCCTTTTTCATACGTTTTGCAACCATCATGAGAGTGAGAGCAACACCGACTGGCATGCCTTCGGGTATGAAAGCAACAACGCAGCCCATCACATTGTTTAGCATTGCCACGACATTCATGAAGGCATAATGATCAACGCGCAACCAGCCGACCCAGGTAAATAGAATGATCAAGACCAGCGTGATGGTAAGGCAAATGATAATCGTGACGAACCGTGTGATCTCCTTTTGGATCAACGTTGGCTTCTCCTTTACACCAGCAGTCATCTTAGCTATGCGACCCATCACAGAGCGACTGCCAGTAAGCACCACCATACCAACCGCATTTCCGTTTGTCACATTGGTACCCATGAAAGCAATGTTCCTCGTTTCCAGAAAGTTGTTGTCAGTAGCATCTATTGCTCCGTCGATCTCATCAGATTCGCCAGTGAGCACTGCACGATCGAAGCGAACGTCTCCCGAACTTTCGAAGAGGCGCATATCTGCTGGGACCTTATTTCCAATACCAACGTACACTATATCACCAACGACAAGTTCCGTTGAAGGCACTCTTGTCTGCTTCCCGTCACGTAGGACCAATGCTTCAGATGGGAGCAGGTTGAGTATCGAGTTCATCACATGCTTTGTAGACCAATCCTGAAAGGCGGAAAAGCTTGCTTGCAGAACAATAACAATAATGACCAAGATCGCCATCGCAAGACTAGGAACAGAGGGTGGATTGCTCAGAGGTTTCCAGCAGATGAAGAAGATAATCACGCCAACCCACAGCACCGAACAGAAACCCCCGAAGACATAGCCGAGAATCTTTTTGAGGTAGTTTTCTCGGTGGTGTGCAATCACGTTCTTGCCATCGCGTTCGAGTCGTTGAGCAGCAGCCGACGAACTGAGTCCATATCTGCAATCGACATTGAGTTGTTGAGACAGTCTCTCTGTGTTGAGGATATGAAAGTCTAAGCTCTCAAAGTAGTCATGATCTGGATGCTTCTCCTTCTCTTGCCTTTCCTTTATGACCTCTTCGGTAGCTCTCTGTGCCTCCGATATTTGGATAGACAGAGTTCGAAATTCGATTGGGATACCAGCAGTCCCAGAGCTCTGTACACCACTTCGCCCGCTCTTCGCCGAGTCCCTGCTCAGAGAGCGGGGGCGATTAGACGGCTGAGATTGATAGACTCCTCCTTGAGAGTCTGAAGACGACGTGCCATCAAACTTGATGGTTGTCCGCCGTTCTGGGCGACCCAAGCGTTGTTCACCCGTTTCCAAATCCTTCTCAGAGGGATCTGAAGACGATGGTGACTCGGCCATGGTGTATGTGGCGAGCTATCAATACGGACAATAGAGGGATAGAAAGATGTAGGAAAGTTTCGAAGGCGCTACTAGGTCATATAAGACGTGGGCAAGAGAGGTAGAGAGGTGGGAGGAAGAAGAGAAGGTAGGATTGTGAACACGGAATCAGCTTACAGCCATGTAGTATTTATCCTTCTGGTAATTTATAGGCAGCCATCGTTCCCAAGACATATGGAGAGGGGAAACGGGAGGACAATGTGATGGAATCAGTGTGTGTGGATATTGGTCGGAGAAGCGATACGGGCTTCGCTTGGAAAAACCTGAGCAGCTAGCCCGATGGAACTAGCCCATGAGGGAATAAGACTGTATGAGAGAACTGACGACGAACACGAAGGATGAAAATGGATACATGCTCAAGACGAGGTATGATTCAATGACAGATGGGTTGCCGTTCTGGGTAATCCATGGACTGCCTCAGGTACCGGAAGGAGCATGGCCACTCTCCAGCTCGTATCAGATTCATTTGTAGTTGACCAGCGAGGGAATTTTCCCATCCAACAGCCTCGAACGTGACAGGTGCCGCTCTTGAGATCATGTTGATGGTAGTGGCAGAGTAAAATCCCGCAGCCATTTCCGTCAAAAGGCTTTTTTCTCGATAGGGTTAAATCAAGCTCAAACTAGGTCGGTGGGTGCGCCACAGTACTCCGGTACTTTGGTCGAGGACTTTGTCCACCGAGGCTCGTATGGAGCGCATACTGTATTGCGATCGACTTCTGTCGCTTAGTGTTCTCCGACTGATGGTGTGTGGTTGAGGAAAATCCCTCAAGGCATCCAAATTAAAGGAACCGTCGCCGCGTTCAGATTCACCACCAGCTGCGTCTTTTATTCTGACCAATAACATTCGGCCCTGAACTTCCCACGCGTTTTCAATCTTTTTTCGCCCCGTCAATTCTTTCTTTCTAAAGTAGAATGTGTCATGTTGAGCTGAAGGTTTTAGTAATTTGCTAACCTCACGACATCCCACGAACTTCGCTCGTGGCTTAAAGAGGTAATCCGAGTCGCTTGGACACCTGAGCCCTAATCCAGCCGCTGTCGCTCTGACATGAAGGTATACCCTCCAGCCCGGCACTAACACTTGCCCATCTAGGTCCATGAACAAAATTTTCCTGCGCTGTACCGAGATATGGGGATGAGCCATTACACAATGTCGATGCCGTGAGATTGGAAGGCCATCAGCACAGGATAGCGTCTACCAGCTCTTTTGTTTTTTTTTCTCCGGCGAATTCTTTTTCAGATTGTTCGCTCTAGATATCCAGCTTCTTGGTCCTATACAGGTCTGCTAGTCATTGACCGAAAACATCCAGGCATTTGCACGTAGCAGTCAAACAGGTGAGGTAAGAGTGCCCCAGGCCACAGGCGGCTATTACCATCTCAGGACTACTGCGTCTTTAAGGTGACCTTCAGCAACCAGTCAATCTACTACCGCAGGGGTTGGTCAAGATTGATATGATGTATGTATATGAAATTTAAACTGGGGCTGATAAAATGTTTGTTTCTCTTTTACTTCTCTATTTTTTGTTTCTTATTTTATGTTTTCCTGCGCCGCTCAAGCCAGGCATACCAGTCATGGTAAGTGCATCAAAAAGTGGTGATGCAGTTGAAGATCTTATACATGTTTCTCGGTGAGGCAGCAGTAAAGCTCCTATTTATCAGAACAATATTTCTATGTGGGTTTCCGACATCAATAATTGCCATATTGATGAACCTGCTAAAGAAAGAACATAGAAAATGTAGCATAGTTGGCTATCGACTATGCCCGAAATCAAAGTTCCATCCGTCATTTCCCCAGGTTTTTTACCTAAGAAATTCGGACGAGGGCTTTCTTCGTCCAATCCGATCAAGGACGAGGCAATTAACGCTGTACCACTCACTCCCTTACGCTGCCAGCCTTGGGATAAACAATGTCACGCCAACCCCCTAACATGGAATTTCACCAATTAGCGCAACTACTGCCATGGGATGTACATGGTCAGTTGACCCAATACATGCAACATTTATATATAAGTACTCGAATGTCTGATCGTGTGTTCGATTGATCCGTGTACATAAATGCTCTCTGTTGCTATACTAAATTGCAGCAAACCCCATACAGCTCACAATGTCCCAGTTACAAAATTCCTACGGTACATATACTACGCATCGCCATCATCTAAACCTAAAATCTCTCGAACATAAATCAGGCCTTAGACTGCTGTCCTCATTGACATTTCCGAATGTCCTGGCACGCTGCTGGTTACCAAGAGAATCCATCGACGGCGAGGAAAGGCAGACTTTATTAAATCCTCCTTCTACTGTTCCTTCCACACTAACAGAGAGATACGGTCTATCCACCATAATCCTGCATTACGGCGTCCACAGCTCCGTAAGAGTATATGCCCGGAAATCTTCTTCCGCAGGTGCTTCTAGGCAACTCCATGTCGTCAAAATCCTCCGTCGATCATCGGACGCCCTCGTCAGAGCTACCCAGCGGTTCGAACAATCCCTCTCCTCGGCCGTATCACACCCCAACCTTCTTCAAACCATCGATGTCCTCCAGAACGAACACGGCGAGACCTGTCTCGTCATGGACTATTGTGCCGGCGGGAATCTGAACGCACTGATTGCCACGGCCGAAGACAGCGTAGACGCCCTTCAAGCAGATTGCTTCTTCAAGCAGATCATGCGCGCGGTGACATATCTTCATGACAACGCAATTGCGCATCGAGGTCTGAAGACGGAAAATATCCTTCTGACGGCCCATGGCGCGGTGAAAGTGGCCGACTTTGGGAGTGCGGAGTGGCTGCTAGACGAAGTTGCGAACGGGGAACATGCCGAGAACAGGATACGTCTGCAACTGTCCTCGTTGTACTCTCCACGAAAGTTGCGGGGATCGATACCTTACCTCCCGCCGGAGGAATTTAGTAACTATGCGGCGATTGATCCGAGGGCGGGCGATGTATGGGCCGCAGGGCTTGTGTACATGGCGATGAGATGTGGTCGCTTACTCTGGAGGATGCCTTGTGCGGACGAGGATGGGGGTTATTGTGCGTACCTGCGCGGACGGCAAACGTATGACGGATATCCTCCGATTGAAGCGTTGGAAGAGGTATGATGCAGTTCCGGGTCTGAAGGACTTGGTGAAAGTCTCTTTGTGCTGATCATTGGCTAGACGCGTTGTCGCAATGTGATATATGCGATGTTGCATCCTGATCCTGTTCGGAGAATCAAGGCATCCGAGGTACTTCGATCTGAGTGGGTGTACTATGTACAGGTTTGTGATGCAGGGGAAATGGGGTGGTAAGTGTGGCTGACTGCGATTTATTTGGCTGGCTCCAAATGTCATATACGATAAACTAATAACAACCGTCTTGAATGAAATAATTATTTGAAGATTGGCATTGACATGCAGTCATGTGCTATCGAAAATATTAACTACAATACAAGTTATGTATCATCGAATCATACACGCTCTAGACGGTTCCAGCCGCCAACACATATCCTCCATCTACCACAATGGTCTGTCCATTGAGATACTGGTTGGTGGTAGAGAAGAGCACGGCATTGGCCATGTCCTCATCCTTACCAGGGCGAGCAGCAGGAACCTTACCCTCGTACTTCTCCTTAGGGATTTCGCTCTTCTGCTTCTCATCACTCTCACCAGCCGTCATCTCACTGGGGAAAACACCCGGGGCGATGTTATTGACGCGAATCCGCAGACCAGACGAGGAAATCTCATGCGCCAGCATCTTAGTCAAATGGATAGCAGCAGCCTTCGACGCATTATAAGCGAAATGATGCTGGGACACCTTGACAATACCCGAAATCGACGAGATATTAACCACAGTGCTGGACCAGCCCTTTTCCTGCTCGGAGCCCTTCTGAAGCAGCGGCAAGAACGCAGTAGTAGTCATAAAGAGATGCGTGACATTCGTGCGGTACACATCATCCCATTCCTTGGGGTCAAGCGCACTGCTCTCGAACAGCTCCTTACGCAGCTCCTTAGGGTCCTCCTTCTCGGTCGTCTGGGTCGAGCTGCTAATGCCGGCATTGTTAATCAATATGGAGAGGTACTTTTCGCGCGAAGAGATCTCTTGCACCAGCTTGTCAACCGAGCTCTTATCCGTGATGTCGGACGTGATGGGGATGATCTGGCCCTGGATATTCTTGTTGTATAGTTCTGCAACGCGGTCGAGCTTCTCGCCAGTTCGGCCTGTGATGTAGACTTTGGCTCCGTTGACCGCCAGAGCTTGAGTGGCCATCAGACCAATGCCTGATCCTCCTCCGGTGATGAGGGCAACTGGTTACTGTTAGTATCTGGATCATATCGTGGACAATGGCGCACTTGAAACATACCTTTCCCCTTAACATTGAAGAGGTTCTCTAGCTTAAAGTTCTCGTTGCTTGCCTTCGCCTCCATTTTGATTACTTCAGATACGTTTCGGCGTGATGTAGTGACAAATAGATTCGATGCTGATGTAGAGAATTGAGCTCTAGAATAGGCTAGGAGAGGCTTCTGAGAAGTGCTATAGCTGAATCTGTGGTGGTAGCGGATCGGACAGCTCGATTTAAGAAAGCGTGGAAGGATGTTCTGGCGGAGCATGATGGGATTGAAACATAGCTGAGTGGGAGAGAGAGTAATTTATACATCAGTGGCGCACCCAGCGCTCGCAATGGAGTAAAATGTTGATTGTTATCCATGTTGTTCTGCGATGTGGTGAGGCAAGAATTGTCTCATCAGTATGACGTCGAGTCTGCGTCGGATGTGTTCCGACTATTTTTGGCGTCCTTGCGATGAGCTAAGTCATTATTAGCTTATGTGGGTCATTGTGATATAGTCTGTGTTTTAACAATATGTAATGGCTGTTCCATTATTCAAGGTTCAATATCTACAACGATGCGTGCCCTGGTCGTGTAGGGTTCATGGATCTGGCTTAGAAAGTGATACAAAGTGTTCGTTCCTCCAAAGGAAAATGAATTCTACTGAATCAGGAGGGTTTCTTTTATCCCCAACAATGGTTTCTTACGTTAATTTTGCTAGTTGTTTCCCACGAAAACGATGATTAAAATGCCATGAACGAATCATTATTAGGCTGGAGATATATACATGCGACAGGCCAGCTGCCTACAGTTTGGCCTTGGTTCCAATCGCCTCGCTCACTGGAGCCACCTCGACCATCATTTTGCCCGTGTTGACACCCCCATACAGGTCTACCAAACCCTGAGGCGCAGCCTCCAATCCACCCGGAACAATGTGTTCCTTACGCTTGATCTTACCCTGCGTCAGCCATTCCGACAGGTCCTTCAGTGCGGTCGGGTATTTCTTAGCGTAGTCGAAGACGATGAAACCCTTCATAGTCACTCGTTGGGACTAAGAAGAATGTCGTCAGCAGCTATTGATAGTGTATGAAATGCATGGGAAACTTACAATGACCGTCATGAAGCTAGCTGGACCCTGCGGTTTAGCAGAGTTATACTGACTGATCGCACCGCAGATGGCAAACCGAGCGTCGCGCGCAGCCCGCGCAAGACAAGCATCTAGAATCTCGCCTCCGGTGTTATCAAAGAACACATCGATGTACTCCGGAGTCGCATCCTTCAATTGCTTCTTCCAATCCTTGTCCTTATAGTTGATAGCGGCATCGAACCCTAACTCGTTGCGCAGGAAAGCACACTTCTCCGCGCTGCCTGCCAAGCCAACGACCCTCTTTGCCCCCTTGATCTTAGCGATCTGTCCGGCCACCATGCCCGTTGCACCCGCAGCGCCTGAGACGACGACAGTATCCCCTGGCTTCGGTTGTCCCACTTCCGTCATGCCAAAGTATGCTGTCAGACCGGTCATGCCCAGCACCGACATTGCATCGGTCGGCTTGCATCCCGGAGGAATAACCACCTTTTGTGCCTCCTTTTGTCCCAGCAGGGCATACTCTTGCCAGCCGGAGTAAGCGATCACCCAGTCCCCAACTCTGTATTGAGTTTTAAGGTTGCTTCCGACGCCGATCACTTGAGCGATACTCTGACCGCGCATGACGCTGCCACGCTCGACAGGGGCGATGTAGGATCGCTTGGCTGTGAGCCATTGCCGCATGGCCGGGTCCAGCGAAAGGTAGTGTACGCGCACAAGGACTTTGTCATCGGGGACATTGTCGGAGATAGTTGTGGTTGAGATCTTGAAGGTGCCGTTCGACAAGGAGGGATCGATTGCCGGGGAGGGCGTGTTGGCGTAGATGGCTTGTCGGTTGGTGATAGGCATTTTGGTCGAACTCAGTGGTACTTCCCGGAACTTCTAGGATAAACAAAAGTGGGTAAAGAGAAAAAGGATAGGCATATAAAGAGGCGATATTCTCCTGACTAGGACTGAACGTTGACAAGGATTCATGGTCGCTAAGACAAAGCGACGAATGAACCTCGGCTGCTAACTCCATAACCGGATTGGTAAGTTCACTAATCACCCAAGTTGGCACAAATTGGCCACACCCCAGTAAATATTATCATCACCCTCACTCAGTTTACCCTTTATTTGAGAAAAACTCTTTGTTGGCACGTCCATGGGTATAGAGATGATTTCTTAGAAAAATCAACGAATTGAGGAGCACTGCTGACTCATCAACAGAAGTATGAAGCCAAGATGATGTAAGAGCCTCAGCGGTTATCAAATCGTTATCGACGATAAAGACAACATGTTCGCTTCTTTGCTTTATACTTCGACAAAAATCGTCATTGCTCCTCAGTCAAACGTTAAACGATACCAAATGCCAGCCATTGATGCAATCTAGTTCTATTCACAGCTATTTTGCGCTCCCAGAGAGAGGAAGATCTACATATCTTCCATGGTGAAGAACAGCTGGAACTGCCCCTGGGGTACCCCTGACGTCATAGGTACATCAGGTATGATGTCGCATAGTTTGGGGTGTTGACAACTCGAATATATAAGAACTGGGGGAGATGGGTCTCGTAGGGCTTAGATTTGTTCCAAGTAAAGTCATTCCTCGATTCTATGAAAGAATATCGCAAGAGTTACTAGTCTAGAAGAAGTTCAATTGCCTACAACCCTACATACAACATACTACATACATCATGAGCAGCACGCAGCCTCCTTACTATTCCTCCTCCTTCGGTGATCCCACTCAACACCCCAGCTCTTCTCAGCCGATTGGCACTCAGATTGGGGGCGTTGACCCTAGTGATCCTCGTACAGGACCTGCTCCACATACAGCTGGCCCACACAAGTCCGACCTAGCCAACAAGCTCGATCCTCGTGTGGATAGCGACCTGAGCAAGGAGAAGAAGTCAAGCAACGCTGGAATTGGTGGAGCTGGGGGCGCTAGCAACACCCATACAGGATCTGCTCAGAGGACGGCGGGTCCTCACACCTCGGACACTGGTAATAAGCTTGACCCTCGTGTCGACAGTGATAAGGACAACCGTGCCCGTCACGCACCAGGCACCGTGGCCAGTGATGCCCGTACAGGGCCTGCTCCTAGAACTGCTGGGCCCCATGAGTCTGACATGGGTAACAAGCTTGACCCCCGTGTCGACAGTGACGTAGATAACCGTGCATCGGGGGCTGTGTCAAGCAATACTCGTACTGGACATGCTCAGAGAACTGCCGGTCCACACGATTCTGATATGGGTAACAAGCTTGATCCTCGTGTTGACAGCGATGTTGATAACCGCGCCCGCCACGCACCAGGCACCCTGGCAAGCGATGCTCGCACCGGTCCTGCCTCAAGGACTGCTGGTCCCCACGAATCTGACATGGGCAACAAGCTTGACCCTCGCGTGGACAGCGACCTCGACAACCGCGCTCAGTATGCGCCACAAACCACTCACAACCGTAACACCTCTCACCTAGCCGGTACTGGGGCCACTACTTCGAGCACTACTGGTCCCCATAGCTCAAAGATTGGCAACAAGATGGACCCTCGTGTTGACAGTGACCTCGACAACCGCGCTCAGTACGCCCCCGGCACTACCAAGACGGGAAACGAGAACCCCTACGCGACGCAGGACACCTCGCTCAGCAGCGGTTCCAACGCTGGTCCCCATGAATCTAAGATGACGAACAAGCTCGACCCTCGCGTGGATGCCCAAACGGGCAACGTATCTTCCAAGACAACCAGCCAGCCTCATGGCTCCCAGTTTGCGGGTAATACTCATTCTCAATACGGGACCAATGCCACTGAGCTATCTACTGGCGCCGGGTACGCGTCCAGCGGGGTAGGATACCGACCGGCACAGTCATCCGGCAGCGCACCTGGGTCCAAGTCTGCTCAGAAGGGTGCAGACATTGGTTCCAGTGTGAAGGGAGCTTTTGCTGGCGCTCACGTATGTGATACCCCTGATTATACTTGAACAGGACCTAACATTTTTCTGAATAGGGAATGGGAGAATCTCTCCGCGGTGGTCTAAATGCGGCAGTTGATAAGACGTTTGGCCATGAAGAGGGTGTCTCAAAGAACGATGCTATCGCCAGCCAAGGTGAACGAGAGATGCGCAGTGGAAACTTCAGCCGAGGAAATGCGTACTGAGATGGCTACACTGTTTGATTATGGGTTACGACGCTACGATGAATTTGTATTCTAGGAATATGTTTTTCTAACTTTCAAAATTTTTTATGACAATTGGTGGAAATGAGATTGGTAGTACAGTTTCTGTATTAAATTAAGTCTGGGAGCCGGTCTCTATACCAATGATTTTGATTCTATCCGTATACGAGGACATAAAAATTATGCCTTCTCTATTGCATACTCAGGTCGAATTTCCCCGGAAGTAGCGGAAGTTTCAATCCTGCGCTATCAGTAACCAGATCTACGTCGATAGATGGAACCAATCAAATGGGCGGCGGGAACCACAGTTGATGTGACCGATCCGATCAGGTGCATGCAGGATGACTTCACGAACCAAATTTCAATCACTGTGAAAGCTTTGGACGCGATGTAATGATGAACACATTTTTTTTTTGTTTTTTCATAGGGCCACAACACGTCGCATCCGACAGACAAGCAATTTCCACCCTCATGGTCACGATGGGTTTGTGGATCCTTTTCCCACATGCCCAAACCGTTTTGATGTTTAAGATTTCAAACTATTGCTCAGGAAATCGCACCCATGAATAATGATAATAATAATAACAGGGAAAATAAAAATAAAAACTGACGGAGAACACTCTTACAGGAAGCTTCTTCCGGACTTGCCGGAGGCTGTGCAGTCACTGTAGTGGGGACCTCTCTCTCACATTTTTTTTTATTATTGCTTTTTTCCCTCTTCTTCCAATTCCTATTACACACACTTCTCCACTGGGAGCAACCACAGACTGATCAATGATCCATTGAGTTAAGGAACGGCGGAGCGAAAAGAAAAAAAATAAAAAACGGAGGAAAAGGAACGGTATTGGGATTACTAAACGTGGAAGCCACGAACCAAGTAACCCACTAACAAAGGTTCCGTTTCCTTGGTATCGGTAGTACGAATACGATATCCAACAAGATAAAGCATCAATCCTTGGGCTCCATCTCTCAGACATTTTTAGCCCGTTATTAGCTCGACTCCAGTTCGACTATTGCCATTAACGCCTTTTACATGTGATTGCTCCTGCAGATTGTTCCTGTTGGTATCGTTATTTTTATCATTGCAACCATTGTTATCGGAACATTTCTTCCTTTGCGTATTTCTTTCTTTCCTCATATACAACTTCGTCATATCGTCGAATTCGAAGCATCACCTTCCCTGCATGTGTGATCCGAAGATTTTCGCCGTCATCACTCATACTGCCCTCGAATATGGCTGTCCCCGCAGCTCCACCTGCGAGCCATGATCCGGTCAATGCCGCTGGGGAGCCCTCGCGGTTTCTGTCGAGACCTTTAATTGCTGGAAATACCAGCTCTGACAGCGATGAGCCGGTCGTAAACGGCGTGGATGTCGCTCGAGAAGACGAGGCTGACGGTATGGTTGGTGTCAGCATCGGTCGTGCCCAAAGTCGTATGAAGGCCCGTTCCACGCCGGCGGAGGAAAAGACACGCGCGATGGAACACAATGGGGGCTATTTTGACCCCATTCCAGACACCGACGACTCGAGCGGTCTTTATACCTCCGAGATCACTGATGAACCAGAGGAACTACCACAGAGCTCGAAACCAGAAGCTAGCCAACCGTCAGCTTCACTCCAGAATGTGGCACACCAAAACGGAACAGCGTTCTCTAAAGACGGCTCCAACAGTCGCACCAGTTTCACCCGGTCGATCTTAAAGAACGGCTTGCCCCTGCGTCCTCGAGCTTGGTCGGGCGATACCATGAAAAAGTTCCTGCCCGATTTAGGATATCTTACTAAACGGACTTCTTTGCCTTTCCGCTCTTCCCAAAATCGCTCCCGCAGTCAGACCCTGAAACCCTCCTCGTCCAAGTTGGCACTTGACCAGGAGGGAGAGTCTCATGCCAAGCCAAGACGCAGATCGTGGAACGATTCCGACTCGAATAACGTGCTCGTTGATGAGCCAATCTCTGATCTGAAACCCATCGACGGCGCGACGGCAGCCAAGCATTCATTTACCCGTCGGCCCAGCGCGACTGTTTCAGGCGCCCCGTTGATGCTTAGGAGATCATCTTCTGACCAATCATTGTATCTGAGAGCATCATCTACTGCATCATCACTCGATCAGCGCCCCCAGTATGAGCACATTCACTCTCAAGTCAACAGCCGGTTCAAGGCCATCAAGGATAGTCTACAGGACTCGAGCAGCCGCCTGCTTAGCATGCCTAGCTTGCACTTGCAGGACTTGCGGAGTGACTGGGGCTATAAACCGTTCTTGGGAGATGTTGCGAATCGTAAAGGCAACAATTACGCCGATGAGCCGCCACCTACGAGTGACGCGCCTCGAGAACAAGCGCCACCTCAATTTGGAGCGCGTCCACCGCGAGTTAACTCCAATTCATGGCACCCCGTATTAAATGAGGCCATGTCCGCATTAACTGGTGATGTTGTTATAATGGGAGGCTACCGAGGATCTATCTTACGTTCCGCCAAACCACCACAGCGTCAACTGTGGGTTCCAATGAAAGTTGGGCTCAATCTTCGCAAAGTAGACCTTGAAGTAGGCCTGAACCCGGAGGATGAGGAGCGCATGGAAGAAACGATTATTCCATCAGGGGTTCTATCGCACATCGGGCCAGTTGACATCTGTCGTCGACTGATGAAGCACCTCCGGAAGTCCGAGAATGCCGTCAAAGGTGATCTCCGCGTATGGGATTATGGCTACGATTGGCGCTTGAGCCCACATCTCCTCTCGAAAAAGCTGATCAAATTCCTGGAGGGCTTACCTTGTAATGCGCCCGGTGTTCCGCCCGAAAAGCGGGGGGCTTATGTTGTTGCGCACAGTCTCGGAGGGTTGATCACCCGCCACGCCGTAAATCAGCGTCCGGAACTCTTTGCTGGTGTTCTCTACGCCGGTGTCCCGCAGCACTGTGTCAATATTCTCGGCCCTCTTCGCAATGGGGATGACGTATTGCTCAGTTCCCGTGTCCTCACGGCTCAAGTGAACTTCACCTTCCGGACCAGCTTCGCCCTCCTTCCCGAAGACGGGCACTGTTTCATCGACAAGCGCACCAAAGAAGAATATCGTGTGGACTTCTTCAACGCCCAGGATTGGGACGAATACCGGCTCTCGCCCGTCATCAACCCAGCTCTCCCGCCTATGACAAACAAGGGCTTCGGTCTCGGAGGCAACATTGGGAAACGCTTCTCTGCTGTTTTGGGTAGTAAAGATAGCTTGCCATCTGAGGATACACCTGACGACGATCAACAAGATCCGAACCAGCCCGGTCGCAGCAATCCAAATCCCATTACCGACCCAGCTGAAAAACTAGCCCCGAGCATCGAGGGTGTTGTTGGCCCAACGTCCAACCTCCGCGGCTCGGCCAACGTCAAATCCACCACTACCGTTACCATTCCACGAGCCACAGCTATCACCTATCTCGAACGCACCCTCTCCGAAGTCCGTCGCTTCAAGCAAGAACTTGCATTCAACCCCTCTCATCAATCCAGCAACAGCTACCCACCTTTCGCAGTTCTATACGGCAAATCTGTTCCTACCGTCTATGGCGCGCGCATCTCGACACGCGAACAAATTAAACATCAGGATGCCTACGATGACCTCGCATTCGCCGCAGGCGATGGTGTCTGTCTCGCGTCCGCAGCAATGCTGCCCCCAGGCTATCGAATCATCAAACATGGCCTGGTGAGAAGCGATCGCGGTCACGTCGGATTATTGGGCGATCTGGAAGGCGTCGGCCAATGTCTTCGGGCTTTAGTGCGCGGAAGACGAGAGGGTGTAGGAATAAGCGATTCACCATTATCGACCTGATGATACCTTCCCTCTTTTATATTATCTCCCTCTTTTGCAACGATACCCACTCTCCCCTCTCCTATGAAGGAAAAGCCATCCTCATTCTGTCACCTTACACAATAAATCCTCTCAATACTTATTCCTGACGTTGTTTTGGATCATGCTCACGATGATGATCATACGAGTAATGACAAAAATTGCATTACATCTTCACAATATCCCAAAGAAAGAACTATATCTTGCATAAGGTGCTACGGTGCTATGTCTATATATATTTACTGTTTATAGAGAAACCTGTACATACATCAAATCTATCTGTTACTTTTCATCTTCTGCGTTGGGAACCATAACCACATAGTCTATATTCATCTCATACAACTGTCCCGATATCTAAGCAAAAGAAAGGAAATAGATAGAACCCCTTTTTAAAGAAACAAAAAACCGAAATTGTATAATATGAAACACGCCTTATGCCAAAATGAAACGAAGAAAAAACAAGGCATGACAGGACATGATAAATTTTGAAAAAACCCTCCTCTAACCCGTCCGGGAGTTGGCAATGGTCAGGACTAGGATGTCTGTCGCACCGACCTTGGTCAGCTCGTCCATCACGGTGGCGATCTTCTTCTTCTCGACCATCGAGCTGACGGCTACCCAGCCGTCAGCCTCGAGGGCGGTCACGGTCGGGGCACGCTTTCCTGGGGTGATGCTGGAGGCAGTGGCGAGTTCAGAGCGAGGAATGTTGTACTGGCACAGGACGTATTTCTGTGCGGCTGTAGTGAAGAAAGACATGTTAGCCAATGCAGGGTCAAGGATGGGTGAGAGTTTGAGAGCTGCAGAGAGGGCAACATACTGATGACACCACGGATACGAGAGGTGATGAGTTCGACAAGAGGGCTCTGGGCCTTCCGGGACTTGACGAGAACAGAGGTACTCTCGACAACGGTATCGATGGCCTTGAGACCAGCAGCCTTCATGGTTTCACCAGATTCTGTGTGGCATACATTAGACAAATTTCAGCGATTAGGATGGTGACAAATCATCAACATACCAACAAGGTCGACAATTCCATCAGCGACACCCAATGCGCAAGCAGCCTCAACACTGCCACCGACATACTTGATCTTGGTAGAGAGCTTGCTGGTATCGTCAACGCCCTCAAGCTTAGCGAAGAAGGCCTCGGTGAGGGCCGTGAAGCTGGTAACCACGTTGCGGCCAACCAATTGCTTCGCCTCGGTGATGTCACCCTTCTCCGGAACCTGCACCTGCAGCTTGCAGCCTCCGAAACCAAGGTCCATGATCTCCTCAACGCCAGATATCTCGCCGTTCGCCAGCTGCGCATCGTGCTCAGCGACTTGGTCACGACCGGTAATACCGAGGTCGACGCGACCTTCGCCGACGAAGGTGGGAATATCTGCGGCGGGGAGGAAGATGAGGGCAATGGGGAGGTTCTTCACAAGGGCGATATCGAGGCGGGTTTCGCGACGGAATTGAATGTCAACGCCGGCAAGGAGGTCCAAGGTTGCCTGTTGGAGCCGACCCTCTGTTTTCAGAGATATGCGTATTAGCTGGAGTTCATGTTTCCTCCTGACAGGTTTGGTGTAGGAGGGCAAATGGGGCAAGTTGCGAAAGAGTGGTGGGGTGAGTCCTGGCGGGCTACTTGCTTTTAGGGACGGCGAAAAGGAGTCTTCCTTCGAGGCTGGACAGAGATTGTTAGTATGTGGAAGACACATTTGGAGGCCATTGCCTGTCTGGAGGTCTGCATGGTGGCATGGAAGCGATTGACTCACTGATTAACGAGATCCATAGTGACGATCAACGCGCGGGGTAATTGTTGGAGGGATTGGAAGGGGTGGAGGGAGTGTAGCGGGCAGATTGTACGGTATATGATATGAGAGTATGAAAGAAGATTAAGTCAGTGCAGGCAATATATGAGGTCCTACACGGCGTAAAATGACTCAGTGGGTGTTTCGCAGGGATGGGGCGAGTTGGGCCGGAGCAATGAACGAAATCGGAGCACCGCAGACTCTGAATTGGTGGGGGTTCTTGCTGCCTATATCCTCAGGTATCAACCGCGCATTGTGGAACCTCTAGCCGGTGATGCCCTACGGATCAGGCAATCAGATAAGCATGCTCTCGAAAGCAGTAATATGATTGGTTGATTAGTGGACCAATGTTCCTGACAGAGGACGGCATTTGATGGATCCGCATACTAGTACTAGTTGGATGTACATTAGTAGTACATACTACTAATTAGCCTAAATCGTGCCTGTGAGTACTGATAAGAAAGGACACACATCTCATACATATTGAAGACTCAACGAGTCTAAATTTTAACAAAGCGTCCTTCAGCCGCTAGTACTTGACCGTGAGCGTTATGTCATGGAAGAATTGTACCGGTCTCCTGCTGCTTCAGTCAAAACGAGGAGTTAAAACCCATATTTTCCTATTATACATATAGTGGTCTCTACTGCAACAACGCTAACATGCTTCAAAATACCAGGTATCGCGACATGATCATGATAGGCCTTACTTGGTCCACCGTATCCAGTTATAACTGCTCCGCGCTGCTGATGAGTTGTTCAATCAAAGTCTCGTTGGCTTTTGCAGGATCAGATAAGACATCTCCAACCGTCCTCACAAGTCCAGCTAGTCTCCGGCGGCGTATTTTCTGTTCTAGTTCGGCACTCTTCTGTTTAGCCAGCTCGATTAGAGGTGCTGGTAAGTTTGCTAGACGCGCTACGTTTAATCCGTAACTGCGATGCGCTACGCCCTCTCCCACCTCGTAAAGGAACGTGATCTCTTCTTCGGTCAACCCCGACTCGGTAAAGCGCATGTGTACGTTCCGAAGTTCATGGTCAGGGAAGGAGTGTATCATTGAGGAAAGGTGTTGATAGTGGGTAATGAAAAGCGTGAGACTTTGGATTGACCGAATCATATAATCGAGAACCGCTTGCGCAATTGCAACACCATCATGCGTAGACGTGCCTCGACCCAGTTCATCCAGAATGACAAGTGAGCGAGGCGTCGCTTGTTTTAGGATATCTGCTGTTTCCGAAAGCTCGACCATGAATGTGGATTCACCAGCCAGCATGTTGTCAAAAGCTCCCATGCGGGTAAACACAGCATCTAGCATACCAAGCTTCGCTGACTGTGCAGGCACGTAGGAACCAATCTGTCCCATAATGGCTATGAGTGCCACTTGTCGAACATAGCTAGACTTCCCGCCCATGTTAGGGCCTGTAACAAGAAGAGCACGGGTCTTGTCGCTGTCCAAATCAATATCATTGGGGACATAGCTGTCCAACAAAAGTTGTTCAACCATTGGATGACGCCCTTGGTCAACATGAATGCATGTGCGGTCCGTGTATTCGGGTTTCACGTAGCCAGGCTGATTAGCGATAGTCGCAAGAGAAATTAGGCAGTCGAGCGTCGCAAGGAACTGTACACTATCGCGGAAAGATTGGTAACTGGCGGATATCTCACCCAGGAAGCTTGCGTACGCCTTATCACAACCCGCCGCTAAAGCCTCCTTATGCTGATCCCGCTGTCGTAGAAGCCTGATAACTTCCGGGGTATGAAATCTTGAAACTGCTTTGGTACCAGATATTTTTACCCACGATGCTGGCACTTTTTTGATGGACGGTGACTTGTTTTCAACCGCAATCAGGTATTCAATACCCGCAACTGTGACGTATTCTACTTTCTTTTTCCCAAGACACTCACCAGCTGTGGAGCGATGTTCTTCAAGATCGTGTTCCACAGCACCAATTCCAAGCTTGTGTTCAGTAATCTCATCTGTCTCCTCTGATTCTCTGAAGAACTCATATTTGTCGTCATTCTTCGCTGCATGCATGTTTATTTTGTCCAGAAAGTGCACGACATCTTCTAGGATTGTTGGAAGAGATGCTACTGCTTTGCTTATGAGAGGCGACGAGAATCCAGTATCGGCAGGAGACTGAACACCAGCAAATTCCTGCGCAATCATCTGTAAAGTTTGGAGGAGAGTGAGAAGCTCGGGCCGGGTGCACTGTAGGTTGTTTAGCATTAGTTATCGCGGAAATGGTTCATCATGGATTACCTTTCCGTAGTAAACCCTGATCAAGGACTTTTCCAGATCAGTCTTGATTCTACCAAGCAGACCCTTCAGCTGTTCTACGAGAGCGACCCTTTCTGAGTTCTTCAGTTCCTCAACAGCGTCCACTCTTTCTTCAAGGCTAGATTTATCTAGCAAAGGACGTCCCACCCATTTACGTAGCATTCTTTGCCCAAAACGGGTCTGTGTTCGATCCAACGTCCAGAAAAGACTGCCTTTGGTGGAGTGATCTGTCTGGTTATGATATATTTCAAGACTGTTCAAAGTATTTGCGTTGAGAAGCATGTGTGATCGAGACGAAAAGTGTTGGAAATACTTTGTAAGCTGGAAAACGTGCTCCAAGCCATACTCTGACATATGTTTAATCATGGAAGATAAGCAGATGGTGACCTGTTCGCTTAGATTGAGCACCCTCTGAAGCAGGCTGCTCGCCTGCGCATCATCTGTGGCGTTCGCATTCTTCATCCTCTCCGCGTAAAAGCTCGAGACATGGCTATGTGACTCGGCCGCCGCCGTTTTAGCTTTAGGGAACTTCTCAACGCGAATCTCGTCACCAAAAGCATTAGTCTTGTTCCCAGACAGGTGTTGAACAAGCTTTTCCGTGGCTCTTGACAAATCACCAACTATAAGAACCTCACAAGGGGCCAGATGAAGGAGTCTAGTTTCGATCTCGCTTCTCATGAATCCGTCTTCAAACTCGTCATACACTATGTCACCTGTTGCTGGCTGAACAGCAACAATGCCAACATTCACCTTTTCGTCATTTCCCCAGCCTTTTGCGTTTGTCTCTGTAATACAAAGCATATACCCCGTTGCCATTGAAGTACCAGCGGCTGATATAGACGCTGTAGATCCTTCCAGGCCCTCCATATCATCAATATACGTACCCTTTGTGTATAAATTGGTGAGTTTGCGTCCAAAGGGCGCATTGCGATTATCGCCAGCAGCTTTAAGGGCAGCGGTTTCCATTTGTCGGACAACTCCGACTTTGTGTCCGGCCGAAACGAGACGCTTAACGTGAACATGCAATCTATGCACTGGTATACTTGCCGATGCAAAGCGGTCAAGATGGGCCTCCGAAGGATCTAAAACACTTTGAGTAAAGGCGAGGAGAACGAGGTAGGGCGTGAATTGAAACCGATACTTACGTTCATCGAACCTGAATTTTCCAGGAATACAGACAATATTCAGCTCCTTCGCAGCTGTTCTAGCATCCTCGCCAAAAAACCGGAACTTGTATCCCACCTCTACTACCAAAACCGTATCCATATGTTTCCGCTTGATATCGATAATCTGCTTCTCCATAGGAGTAAGCTTGTGCCCGCCTTTCTTGGTCGCGGCTTTCCCTTTAGCTGCAGGGGGCGGAGAGGTTTCGTCATCCTCGTCGCCCTCGCCAACTTCCCCGGGGACAGCTTCATGGGCCGTACTTCTGCCAATTCCGATGAGACAGTCCGGTCCACCTAATCTCCGTACAAACTTCTGGTGCAGCTTCTCTCTTTCTTTTGTCCGTTCTTTCGTTTCTCCCTCCGTAGCTGGCGAGCTGGCGAACTTGGAGAGCTCCGTTTTTTGGCTACTGTCCGATAACCTAGGACGCTCAATGTGGGTTTCTTTTGGAGATTCGGTGGTGTTTTGTGAATAGGACCCGTTTGTTCTCGCTCGCTTTGGCGCCGGAGCAACTACATCGTCCTCATCATCAACATTGTTTAACCGAGTACTGCAATTTTCCTTTAAGGCTTCTTCCTTTTTTGTAGCCTCTTCCCCTTCTTGACCTCGTTCATATTTTTCCAGTGCATCATTCAAGGTGCTTTCCTGCGAGAGTTGTGGCTTCTTTGTGAAAAAGCTCGAGATGGTCGGTTGTTTTCGCTTCAAACTTGGAGAAGATGACGCTTGAGAAGATAAAGGCATCGTTTACTGCCCGGGTATTTTTCGAAGCCACATAGGCTTCAATACAGGTGCTTATTGTTTGGTACTCCAGGAAGAAAAAAAATTCAACGAGATAGGCGAGATGGAGTAATGAATCAGCGGCGAAGGAAGAGGTGGCAAAGGAAGCTCTCGGCGATAGGTTTTCGTAAAAAGCATTCGAGATAGAACTAGTAAACAAGCATTAGAGGCCAGAATACCATGCTGCCATTAGCTGTTAATTGTCGCGCATGGTATTAATGTCTCGCTGCTCAAAACATCTAATGAAATCCTTGGCAAGTCCGCGGCTTCGGAGCTTAACGCGTAAAAAGACGCGGTAACCGTGTTCCATTTACCTGAGTTACGTACTCCGGAGTGACTTTACACTACGTACCAAACAAGATTCCTCCACCTTACTTTTCCGCTTTAGGTCCGACTTAGAGCCGCTTTAAGCTCACTGAGCGGCGCTGAGCGTGGGGTGAGCACAGAAGTGCGTCTCCCAAACCAAACATGTTCATACTCTTGTTGTGCACCAATAGCATGACTCTCATTTCTTATCAAATTTTAGCGTACATTCAACTATAGAACACGACCATTAATGACTTATGGATGGTGTTCTTACCTAATATTTTGGACATCGACATGTTTCACGGCGCCAGGTATCTTGGATCTTTTCTATACTATAGGTAAATTCCTCGACAAGCCGAACAGGGTGGGGATTTGGAAGTATATTCAATGCTGACCCAGTTGCCATGCAACATGAATTGGAAGCCCAAATCCAAACCACTCAGACCTTTCTAAAGCTCCGCTAGTAGATGCGAACCAGTTCTTTTAGCAGAGTCCCATTTACATTCGTCATTCCACCGGCCCTGCCAGCTGGATCCTGCAGCCACGCGGTGTCCGATCTCTTGGTGCGATATGCACATACAAGGCTATGTCCTTCATTAGAGGGCAAAACTCCATATGCTACAACAAGCAACAAGACTGACATTCTGACCCCACGGACGGTGTATGTATACTACTTCATCAAGGCAATGCTCCAAGCGTACCAGCAAGCCACAGAACAAGTGATAAGTACCAGGAGGGAGATCTAAATTATGAAGCTATGTTGTACGCGGAGGGTCTGGCGAAGTGCCTGGCTATAGTGAATGTTTCATCATGAGATATTTCGTAGAGTACCGCTAAGTGAGAAACGTATACGGGGTCGAGGATCAAGTCTGGCACTCTTCTAATGTTGACCCGATTGCTAATATCAATTAAAGCCCTAATAACCCCTCCTTTCACCCCT